TAAAATACGGGTATTCATTTGCAAAAGTTTTCGCTTACTATTTTCGGTGATAACTGACCAGAGAAATGATAAATCTTTATAGATATGTGTTGTCATTGACTAGTGACGTATTTCCTTTTCAACCGACTTCAAAAAGGATGAGGTTCTCAATTCGACTGTATGTCATTTTTTTTTATGTTTGTTACCTCAGAACTCCGTCATTTATTAACCGATTTGGACAATTTTTGTTTTGTTTGAAAGGGTATACTTCCAGATTGGTCCCATTTAAATTTAAAAAAAAATACCACCCCTAAGGGTGGAAAAACAACTAATGATAAATTTAACCTACTTCTAATTGTCATATTGACTTGAAACTTTGCAAGTATTTCTATTTCCGTTGATAGTACAGTGGTTCGGTGTTGTTGACCTGATCTGATGGCAAGGCCAGAAGGTGGATAGGTGGAACTCTTCAACGGCTAATAGTAGATACTTTGAGTTTGGGCTTATTTTGTTTGATTTGACAAGCCTAACACGTTAGAATCCTTACTATGCTACTACTGTCTACACTAAAAAGGGAAAAATAAAAACTTTTTAACAAAAAAATAAAAACCGACTTCAAACAAAAGCACTAAAAAGTAAAAAATAACTGATTGGTAGTTTTCATTTACTATACATACCTAATCAAATATTTTCGAAGTCGGTGTGCTTTGGCTAAGTAATTAAAGCCTACCTATTAAATACATACCTAATCAAATACTTTCGAAATCGGTGCCAGCCCATACAAAGCAAAGCACACCGACTTCGAAAATATTTAATTAGGTATGTATAGTAAATGAAAACTACCAATCAGTTAATTTTTACTTTTTAGTGCTTTTGTTTGAAGTCGGTTTTTATTTTTTTGTTAAAAAGTTTTTATCTAAATCATGCACTTAAAAAAATATAAAAATTATTTAAAAAAATATAATTTTTTATCTATCATATCGAGCCCTTTTATTACTTAATATTACTTAATATCACATGAAAAAAAATATTATTAACTTACCAATTTGTTAAACTTTTAAAATAAATAAATAAAATGGCTCACCTAACGCCATATTACTTTTATGGTAAAATAAAAGTAAAATAGCTATTTTTATATTACAATCTAGTAGTATAAGGCACACATAATAATCTGCAGTTCAAGAGAAGACGTAAGAGAATATGATCATTCTAGATTTTTGATTATTTTACAAAACATAAAAACATTATAAAAGATGTGGAAATGGATACAGAAATTCTACATTTATATACTGTGTGGAAAATAAAAACAAATCTTTTTTATTTTTACGGGAGAAAAAGTAAGTTATGACAGACTATAATCTATATCTGTGCCAAATTTCATCCAGATCCGTTCAGCCGTTCTGGCGTGATTCAGTAACAAACATACATCCAAACTTTCGCATTTATAAGATTTATGGGATTATAAAAAACAGCCCGCTTTTTGCTCAGACCTCAATGGAACTTTGAAACCCTTTAATTATACGTAAGATAGAATTTTTTGGGAAATAAACATAGTACATATTTGATATCCGAAGCAATGTCACATTTAAACAGTGTTTTATTCATTAAAAGAAAACCAAACCTATAAATCATGCCATCAGTGGAAAAACGGTCTAAATCGAAATATTAAAATTATTTGAAAAAGCTTAGCAATAATAATGTGCACTAAACACTTTTAAATAAACTCACACTATGTATACTTTTACAATATGATTATATAAATTTAGGGTTAATATAAGCCTAAGTTCGTTGGTACATGAAATTTAATGTATATGCAAATGACATACGGTTTTCTAATGTCGGTTTACAGATAGCTATAAAAAGTCTTTAAAATTATTATAATATTAGAATATAAGCATTTATTAAATCTAGTATTTGTATAATAAAAGAGTGGTATTTTTAATACCTCTTTGCTCAACGCGACTAAAAGTCGTATTATGATATAACATAATTATTATAAAGTTGCTTGTTCTAATTGATTCATTAACGCTGACCAGTGGACCTGAGGGCTAAACTTTCAACAGTGTATTCCAATAATGGCATAAGTAACCACTAAGAAAAGACTATTAGAATTACATCTCTAAAGAGAACAAATACACTGGAAAAATAAAAAGTAAGCCGGGCATGTCAGAGAAAGATTATCTATCTATAGATATAATAAAATTCTGAGCCGAATCTGTACATTAAATATTTTTTTTGAAAATCTTATTGAAATAGGCATTATTATCGATGCAGAGTGCGAATCTATAGGTTTTAGAATTTTTGTCTGTCTGTCTGTCTGTTACTGCATCACGAGAAAACCACTGGACAGATTTTGATGAAATTTAGTATGATGATAGCTGGTTATCCGGGTCAACATATAAGATAGTTTTTACAGCCGGGAAATATCTCATTTCTGAGAAAAAATACAAAAACTGCATTGTAAGAGTATAATATACTAATATGTAAAACCTAAGAATTTTGTTTTTGGTAATCTGAACGCGGGCAAAGCTGCGGGCAATGCTAGTACATATAATAAAATTCTAACTAAGCCAAATCTGTACTTGAATTATTGTTTGAAAAATCTTATTGAAATTAACATTATTATCGAAACAGAGGCCGGATCTATAGTTTTTAGAATTTTTGTCTGTCTGTCTGTCTGTCTGTTACCGCATCACGGTAAAACCACTGGAGGGATTTTGAAGAAATTTGGTATGGTGGTAGCTGGTTATCCGGGTCAACATACAACATACTTTTTACCGCGGGAAAATATCTCATTTCTGAGAAAAAATATAAAAACTGCAATGTAAGAGTATACTAATATGTAAAACCTAAAAATTTGGTTTTTGGTCTAATGCTAATATTAATACAAACTATTATAATTAAGGTAGATAGTCACATACTAGCTGCTTCATGCAGCTTAGTCTGTGTGGGATCTATTTAGTCTAACCGCTGAAAACAGCCAAGCGAGCTTCTCTATGTTTTTAATTCATCAAATTTAAAATCTACCATTGAACCTAGTGGTGTTCGAGTAAATCATATACAAACAAACATACGATTATTAATAGTTATTCGGCTTCTATTGCATCTCAAAAACAAAAACACTCTGGTTTTGTTTGAATTTTATTATAAGTATTATATTTCATTACAATTTATTTTTATGACAGCTATTTTATACAACACTGATACACCCACGAATTCGCTGAATAATATTCTAAATGTTGACTGGAATATAAAGTAAGTATTAAACAAGCCAACTTACATCAGATTTTTTGTTAAATTAAAACGCTTTCTAATAGTTGGTCTAAAATAAACCTCTTATTTCGTGAAAATCTTCATCGTATAAAATGACAATTATGACTATATCCAGGCCATCTTTCTATGATATTAACAAGCATTATGTTCAAACATACAAAACAAATATATCTCGACTAATATAACGTCTCCGACTAATAGAGACGGAGTCCGCTAAAAGAAATGTCAAAGTCTAAAATAGTAGCGTGATTAGCTGTTTATGCTACTATTTTTGATTCTGTCATACAGATCATTTACTTTCTTTATAAGGGAAATTTCATATGCATATCTATTATGTAATAGGTAAATTAATAAACAATTTTTGAGAATAAGTTATGAATAATAAAAATAAATAATACTATATTCTTTTCTTTTTTAAGCATAATTTCTCTTACCTCTGAAAGAGAGAATATTTTAATATTATTTATAAGCTTTAGCTATTTATATTATTGAATTATAATAAAATTCGTAAGACATTTTTATTTATCAACATTTATTTGCTTATCACTCAGTACACAAATTGTCATTTGTATACTATTTTAAAACTTTGCATTATATACATTACCTACTAGCGACTCACGCTCGCATCGTTCGGGTTCATCCCTAGATACGTTTTAACGGTCAGTAAGGAGTATATAGACTATATATTATACATGAATACAAAATAAATAATTCTGAACTTTTCTATATTCCAGCCATTTTTGAGTTTTTCCTTTTTTTTATACTTAAGCTTTGAAACTTTGCAAGTGTTTCTATTTCCGTTGATAGTACAGTGGTTCGGTATTGTTGACCTGATCTGATGGTAAGACCAGAAGGTGGATAGGTGGAACTCTTCAACGGCTAATAGTAGATACTTTGAGTTTGGGCTTATTTTGTTTGATTTGACAAGCCTAACACGTGGGAATTCTTACTTTGCTACTACTGTCTACACTAAAAAGGGAAAAATAAAAACTTTTTAACAAAAAAATAAAAACCGACTTCAAGCTAAAGCACTAAAAAGTAAAAAATAACTGATTGGTAGTTTTCGTTTACTATACATATGAATAACTGATTGGTAGTTTTCATTTACTATACATACCTAATCAAATATTTTCATAAATAAAAAATAGCGTTTAGCTAAATAAAAAATAGCGTTTGATAAAGTGCCTTAAGATTGCTTTGTTTTGTTTATTTCATAATGCAAAAATACCCATTCGAGAAATTTTAATAACTTGTGACCTACAGATATGGTACGAAGATATCGTATATATATATCCCCTTTTAGTATACGATGAACTCATTCCATAATTTATCATATGTGAGAAACAAAGTCACTACAAATCGTATTTAACCAGTGTATAATTACCCCATGTAAGTTATAAATATTTAAAAACTAAAAGGTAGGTGAATTTGACATAAACTGTTATAATCTAAACCATTTTTATTTTGCTTGTAATATTATTTTTATTATTATGTTAATTAAAATTAACTTGTCTGTCTGTTCTGTTTCTAAAGTCTGTTCTATCTGTAAAATTTGCGTTTCTTTTATTCAATACAATGTATTATACAATAATGAAGCTTTTCTGTCCTTCTTCTTGTATCGATGATCGTTATAGCTTTTTCAGCGGCGTCCATAAGCTCCTATAATTTGCAGGTAACAAGGCAATCAGGGCATACTAGTAAGTGCCTCATCATATATCAGCCTTTTCTAAAGCTATTCAAAAATAACAATGCCAAAAATATTGATGTGTCTCGCAATACTGGCTGTTGTGGCTATGGTAGAGTCAAGACCATCAAGGTAATAATTGGGTTATAATTTTATCTCCTATAGGTGTAAAAAAATACACATACTTTTAATTTAAAATTTTTAATGATTTAAATAAAAATCGAGCCGCTGTTATTTTAATTCTAATAATATTGAAATAAAATAAAACTATCATGAAATAATACTTTCTTAGATTTACGCGAATATTTGACAATTGAAATAAAACTAAAATAAGATTTTCTGATTTTTTTCGCAAATTTATTTTCATTTAAATGGTTCCCTACGTTTCGAATGCTTTACAGTAATCATCATGATAATGAGAGAGACTCTTCACAAAAAAAATCAAAAAGATAGTTTTATTTAAAAAGTATCTCCTGGACATATATACATTGTATGAACCATATGTTATAATATATTGATAAATATATTTTTTTGTTTCAGCGATATAGAAAAAGTTCCGTGTGTAGGATGTAATCCGCCAGAGGTAATCTATTTATATTATTCTATATTTATATATATCTAAATAAATATGCGTTGATATAGTATATCCTTATTAAAAGTTTAGGCTTACTTAAACTGATGAAGTTATTTTGTCTGCTCCCTGAGATAGACACATATATTATATTGTGATATTTATTTCGTATGCATTATTATTGCATGTTTAGATATATATAAACATGCAATAATAATGTATATATATTTATAAAAAGAGACAGAGTTCATTAAATTAAACAGGTAAAACTATCAAAGAAAATAAAAATCAGACAATACTTTTTTGAACTTCGTAAAAATACTACAACACGATTTTTTTTCAATTTCGTTATAAACTGTAGCAATCTTTTGGTACATAGATAATAAATAACTAATAATACAAAAATAAACACTATTACAGAATATAACCCGAAAGAAACGGTGTTTGTTGGATATTATTGATATATTATTGGTAAGTAATCTTAAAATAAAAAGTTCTTAGGATTTACTTAGTTATGCTAATTATTGCTAAGTAGTTTATAAATTATTATTGCTAAGTCTATATATTATTATAATATTATTGTTAATGTTATAATGAGATATTTATTATTCCTTTAATATACATATTTTTAGTACGTACTTCTTTTATAATACTTTCTTAGAATTACGCGAATATTTGAACGTCTGGAACCAAAAATCAAAATAAATCCGCTAAATAATCCGAAAAGATAGTTTTATTTAAAACGTACTTCTTTTACTTCCGATTGATACTAATTTGTCACAGAAAAAGAATTGTTGTACTTAAAAAAAAACAATGAAAATTTTATTTAATTAAAATTAGCCTGAAGCAAATTTTTGGTGACAGCCTCCTGGGTCGTGTTTATTAATACGAATTTCGAATTATATTTCGCTTGGAAAATGAATGAGGGGTCCACCACATAGATCGGGATCTTATACTAAAAGTGATTTTTACATAGAGATAGTTTTAGGCCTTTATTTTTCTTTACCAAGTAGTATCACTTAGTAATAAATACACTATTACAAAAATTATTTGTTATACTAAAAGCTTTATTTTAAGTTTAACTATATTTTATTTTCAGGGCGGAAATCGGTCAAGGGAACCAAAACATATTTACATTGGAAACGGACATCATAATAAAAATAAAGTGATTATTTTAAGCCCGGATGGTCGTTATAATTATGAGGCTCTGCTCCCGGATGATCTTTTCTCTTATGAGAACTAATCAGCGCTATTCGGGTTTTTCATAGTAAGACTTGAATCTTTTATTGGAATTGATCCCGCACCCATTATTGTGTAATAAAATTATTTGCATTAGCCTCTGAATTATTTACAATTTTAAATTTTTAGTAGAAGAAACTAAAAATGAAGCTCCTATATACTTCAATTACATAATAAACACATTATTATTATCATAAAAAATATTTTTCAATTATATAAAAATTAAAATACCATAAGAATTATATTTTTTTTGTTTTATTATAAAATTAATTTAATGTAAATGAAACTCAATAGAGAATTTATTCCTTCCAAATAACAAATTAAGTAATGAATTATTCGTTATTATATGAAAACAATTTAAATGTTTACTTAAACATATTTAAATAAATGAATTTACTAACGTTTATATTGGCGAGACTGCTTGTATATAAAAATGAGTTATATACAATTATTATCTATAGGTTAATAGAGTTACTTTAATATAAAAAAAACTTTAAGTTTTCATAATATTTATCATAAATATTATAAAATACGGGTATTCATTTGCAAAAGTTTTCGCTTACTATTTTCGGTGATAACTGACCAGAGAAATGATAAATCTTTATAGATATGTGTTGTCATTGACTAGTGACGTATTTCCTTTTCAACCGACTTCAAAAAGGATGAGGTTCTCAATTCGACTGTATGTCATTTTTTTTTATGTTTGTTACCTCAGAACTCCGTCATTTATTAACCGATTTGGACAATTTTTGTTTTGTTTGAAAGGGTATACTTCCAGATTGGTCCCATTTAAATTTAAAAAAAAATACCACCCCTAAGGGTGGAAAAACAACTAATGATAAATTTAACCTACTTCTAATTGTCATATTGACTTGAAACTTTGCAAGTATTTCTATTTCCGTTGATAGTACAGTGGTTCGGTGTTGTTGACCTGATCTGATGGCAAGGCCAGAAGGTGGATAGGTGGAACTCTTCAACGGCTAATAGTAGATACTTTGAGTTTGGGCTTATTTTGTTTGATTTGACAAGCCTAACACGTTAGAATCCTTACTATGCTACTACTGTCTACACTAAAAAGGGAAAAATAAAAACTTTTTAACAAAAAAATAAAAACCGACTTCAAACAAAAGCACTAAAAAGTAAAAAATAACTGATTGGTAGTTTTCATTTACTATACATACCTAATCAAATATTTTCGAAGTCGGTGTGCTTTGGCTAAGTAATTAAAGCCTACCTATTAAATACATACCTAATCAAATACTTTCGAAATCGGTGCCAGCCCATACAAAGCAAAGCACACCGACTTCGAAAATATTTAATTAGGTATGTATAGTAAATGAAAACTACCAATCAGTTAATTTTTACTTTTTAGTGCTTTTGTTTGAAGTCGGTTTTTATTTTTTTGTTAAAAAGTTTTTATCTAAATCATGCACTTAAAAAAATATAAAAATTATTTAAAAAAATATAATTTTTTATCTATCATATCGAGCCCTTTTATTACTTAATATTACTTAATATCACATGAAAAAAAATATTATTAACTTACCAATTTGTTAAACTTTTAAAATAAATAAATAAAATGGCTCACCTAACGCCATATTACTTTTATGGTAAAATAAAAGTAAAATAGCTATTTTTATATTACAATCTAGTAGTATAAGGCACACATAATAATCTGCAGTTCAAGAGAAGACGTAAGAGAATATGATCATTCTAGATTTTTGATTATTTTACAAAACATAAAAACATTATAAAAGATGTGGAAATGGATACAGAAATTCTACATTTATATACTGTGTGGAAAATAAAAACAAATCTTTTTTATTTTTACGGGAGAAAAAGTAAGTTATGACAGACTATAATCTATATCTGTGCCAAATTTCATCCAGATCCGTTCAGCCGTTCTGGCGTGATTCAGTAACAAACATACATCCAAACTTTCGCATTTATAAGATTTATGGGATTATAAAAAACAGCCCGCTTTTTGCTCAGACCTCAATGGAACTTTGAAACCCTTTAATTATACGTAAGATAGAATTTTTTGGGAAATAAACATAGTACATATTTGATATCCGAAGCAATGTCACATTTAAACAGTGTTTTATTCATTAAAAGAAAACCAAACCTATAAATCATGCCATCAGTGGAAAAAACGGTCTAAATCGAAATATTAAAATTATTTGAAAAAGCTTAGCAATAATAATGTGCACTAAACACTTTTAAATAAACTCACACTATGTATACTTTTACAATATGATTATATAAATTTAGGGTTAATATAAGCCTAAGTTCGTTGGTACATGAAATTTAATGTATATGCAAATGACATACGGTTTTCTAATGTCGGTTTACAGATAGCTATAAAAAGTCTTTAAAATTATTATAATATTAGAATATAAGCATTTATTAAATCTAGTATTTGTATAATAAAAGAGTGGTATTTTTAATACCTCTTTGCTCAACGCGACTAAAAGTCGTATTATGATATAACATAATTATTATAAAGTTGCTTGTTCTAATTGATTCATTAACGCTGACCAGTGGACCTGAGGGCTAAACTTTCAACAGTGTATTCCAATAATGGCATAAGTAACCACTAAGAAAAGACTATTAGAATTACATCTCTAAAGAGAACAAATACACTGGAAAAATAAAAAGTAAGCCGGGCATGTCAGAGAAAGATTATCTATCTATAGATATAATAAAATTCTGAGCCGAATCTGTACATTAAATATTTTTTTGAAAATCTTATTGAAATAGGCATTATTATCGATGCAGAGTGCGAATCTATAGGTTTTAGAATTTTTGTCTGTCTGTCTGTCTGTTACTGCATCACGAGAAAACCACTGGACAGATTTTGATGAAATTTAGTATGATGATAGCTGGTTATCCGGGTCAACATATAAGATAGTTTTTACAGCCGGGAAATATCTCATTTCTGAGAAAAAATACAAAAACTGCATTGTAAGAGTATAATATACTAATATGTAAAACCTAAGAATTTTGTTTTTGGTAATCTGAACGCGGGCAAAGCTGCGGGCAATGCTAGTACATATAATAAAATTCTAACTAAGCCAAATCTGTACTTGAATTATTGTTTGAAAAATCTTATTGAAATTAACATTATTATCGAAACAGAGGCCGGATCTATAGTTTTTAGAATTTTTGTCTGTCTGTCTGTCTGTCTGTTACCGCATCACGGTAAAACCACTGGAGGGATTTTGAAGAAATTTGGTATGGTGGTAGCTGGTTATCCGGGTCAACATACAACATACTTTTTACCGCGGGAAAATATCTCATTTCTGAGAAAAAATATAAAAACTGCAATGTAAGAGTATACTAATATGTAAAACCTAAAAATTTGGTTTTTGGTCTAATGCTAATATTAATACAAACTATTATAATTAAGGTAGATAGTCACATACTAGCTGCTTCATGCAGCTTAGTCTGTGTGGGATCTATTTAGTCTAACCGCTGAAAACAGCCAAGCGAGCTTCTCTATGTTTTTAATTCATCAAATTTAAAATCTACCATTGAACCTAGTGGTGTTCGAGTAAATCATATACAAACAAACATACGATTATTAATAGTTATTCGGCTTCTATTGCATCTCAAAAACAAAAACACTCTGGTTTTGTTTGAATTTTATTATAAGTATTATATTTCATTACAATTTATTTTTATGACAGCTATTTTATACAACACTGATACACCCACGAATTCGCTGAATAATATTCTAAATGTTGACTGGAATATAAAGTAAGTATTAAACAAGCCAACTTACATCAGATTTTTTGTTAAATTAAAACGCTTTCTAATAGTTGGTCTAAAATAAACCTCTTATTTCGTGAAAATCTTCATCGTATAAAATGACAATTATGACTATATCCAGGCCATCTTTCTATGATATTAACAAGCATTATGTTCAAACATACAAAACAAATATATCTCGACTAATATAACGTCTCCGACTAATAGAGACGGAGTCCGCTAAAAGAAATGTCAAAGTCTAAAATAGTAGCGTGATTAGCTGTTTATGCTACTATTTTTGATTCTGTCATACAGATCATTTACTTTCTTTATAAGGGAAATTTCATATGCATATCTATTATGTAATAGGTAAATTAATAAACAATTTTTGAGAATAAGTTATGAATAATAAAAATAAATAATACTATATTCTTTTCTTTTTTAAGCATAATTTCTCTTACCTCTGAAAGAGAGAATATTTTAATATTATTTATAAGCTTTAGCTATTTATATTATTGAATTATAATAAAATTCGTAAGACATTTTTATTTATCAACATTTATTTGCTTATCACTCAGTACACAAATTGTCATTTGTATACTATTTTAAAACTTTGCATTATATACATTACCTACTAGCGACTCACGCTCGCATCGTTCGGGTTCATCCCTAGATACGTTTTAACGGTCAGTAAGGAGTATATAGACTATATATTATACATGAATACAAAATAAATAATTCTGAACTTTTCTATATTCCAGCCATTTTTGAGTTTTTCCTTTTTTTTATACTTAAGCTTTGAAACTTTGCAAGTGTTTCTATTTCCGTTGATAGTACAGTGGTTCGGTATTGTTGACCTGATCTGATGGTAAGACCAGAAGGTGGATAGGTGGAACTCTTCAACGGCTAATAGTAGATACTTTGAGTTTGGGCTTATTTTGTTTGATTTGACAAGCCTAACACGTGGGAATTCTTACTTTGCTACTACTGTCTACACTAAAAAGGGAAAAATAAAAACTTTTTAACAAAAAAATAAAAACCGACTTCAAGCTAAAGCACTAAAAAGTAAAAAATAACTGATTGGTAGTTTTCGTTTACTATACATATGAATAACTGATTGGTAGTTTTCATTTACTATACATACCTAATCAAATATTTTCATAAATAAAAAATAGCGTTTAGCTAAATAAAAAATAGCGTTTGATAAAGTGCCTTAAGATTGCTTTGTTTTGTTTATTTCATAATGCAAAA